AATCAATAATTTCATTCAAGATAATGACAACAATGAAACAAGATACCAAAATTTGTGGGATGCAGTCAAAGGAGTACTTAGGGGAAAATTATATCTCTAACTGTGTACATCAATAAAAGAGAGATAGAGCAGATCAACAAACTGGACATGCAACAAAACAAACAAACAAAAAACTTTAAAAATCACCAATTAGACACCAAAACAGAAATCCTGAAAATCAAAGGAGAGATTAATAAAATTGAAAATAAGAAAATCATTAAACTAATAAGTAAAACTAAGAGCTCATTTTATGAAAAAATAAGACAAAACAGTAATAAATAGAAAACCATGGGTAAATTTGATTTAAAAAAAGACCAAATTCCCAATATCAAAAATGAAAAGGTTTAGTGCACTACCAATTAAATTGAAATTAAAGCAAATATTAAATATCATTTTGCCCAATTTTATGCCAGCAAAACTCACAATATAATTGGAATGAATGAATATTTACAAAAAATTTAAAAAAAACCATGAATTTCAAGAGTGGAACCAAGATGGTAGATTAGAGGCAACCTAGTTGAACTCTCTCAACATTTCCCTCCAGACCACTTTAAAATAATACCTCAAATCAAATTTTGGAGTGACAGAGTCAACAAAAGGTCAGGTTGACATATGTTTCTGACCCAAGAAAACTTAGGAGGTTGACAAGTAAGGTCTGTGACACCAGGATGGAGGTCTGTCTGAAGTCTGTAGAAGTGATGGCAAAAACAGCAGTTTTGGGAGCTCTTGGCCCCATAATAGTATGTGGGATGGACAATTAATCAGAAAGAGATTAAAGGGAACCCTTTGCTGAAACTGTATACAGCTGGCACTGATTGGCAACTCTATTGGCCATACCCATTCTGAGTCATAGCTCCAGAGCAAAGAGGAGCACTTGGTGTCAGTCACAAGGGAGCAGGGGCCTTGGTTGCATTTCCAAGGCAAAGAGAGCCCTAGCACTTGTGGCTACAAGGGACCTGTGGCCTTTTCTAGGTAAAGACCAGAGTGCAGACCAGGAGAACACTGACCACACTTCTCCCACGATAACACCACCTTAGAAGCACTGAAAACTTATAGACCCCAGAACTAGTTCTGAAAATAGTAGCATGAAAAAACTTGAAGCTTGTCATAGTGACTCCCCACAATTAGGAGAGCAGAGCCTAACTTTAGCACAAAGTTCAAAGTCAAGAAACAGGCTGGAAAACCGAGAAAACAACAAAAATAATTGACCATAAAAAGCTACTAAAGTGTCAGTGAAGACAAAGACATCAACTCAGAAAAAGACAACAATGTAAAAACAGCTACAAACAAAGCCTCAAAGAAAAATGCTAATTGGGACCAAGCCCAACAAGAATTTCTGGAAGCATTATAGAAAGAGATAAGAATGGCAGAGGAAAAACTGGGAAAAGAAATGAGAGTGATGCAAGAAAGTTATGAAATAAGAATTAACAGCTTGGTTAAAAAAAAAAAGACTGAAAAATGAAGACAATAACACTCTAAAAAACAGAATTGGCCTAATAGTAAAAGAGGTAAAAAAGATCACTAAAGAAAATATCTACTTAAGAAGAATAGGCCAAATGGAAAAGGAGGTACAAAAATTCATTGAAGAAAGAACTTCTTAATAGAATTACCAAATGGAAAAAAAGAAATACAAAATCAAACTGAAAAAGATCAGTCCTTAAGAATTAGAATTGGGCAAGTAGAAGATAATGACTCCACAAGACATCAAGAAACAATAAAACAAAGTCAACTGAATAAAAAAATAGAAGAAAATGTGAAATATCTCATTGGAAAAACAACTGACCTGGAAAATAGATTAAGAGATAATTTAAGATTTATTGGACTATCTGAATGCCATGATCAAAGAAAGACCTTAACACTATATTTCAAGAAGTTATCTATGAAACCTGCCCCGATATCTTAAATCAAGAAGGCAAAATGGAAATCAAAAGAATCTGCCAATCTCCTAAACAAGATCCCAAAATAAGAACTCCCAGGAATTTTATAGCCAAATTCTCAAGTTCCCAGGTCAAAGATAAAACACTTCAAGCAGCCAGAAACAAACAATTAAAATATAGAGTCACAGCAGAATCACATAAGATTTAATGGCATCCACATTTTGAAAAAGCAGAGGGCTTGGAATACAATATTCCAGAAGACAAGGGAGCTAGAATTATAACCATGAACACCTACCCAGAAAAACTGAGTATAATCCTTTGGGGGGAAATAGATATTCCATGACAGAGGACTTTTAAGCATTCTTGATAAAAAGACCAAAGCTGAATAGAAAATTTTACTTTCAAATGCAAGACTCAAGAGAAGTATAACAAAGTAAACATGAAAAAGAAATCATAAGGAACTCAATAAGGTTAAACTATTTACTTTTGTATGTGGAAAGATAGCAGATGTTTTCTTTTGCAACATAACTAATATAGAAATATTTTTTGTATAACTTCACATATGTAATTGATATCATATTGCTTCCCTTCTCAAGAGGTGGTGGAAGGGTAAGACTGAGGGAGAGAATTTGGAACTCAAAATTTTTAAAAATTATTTTAAAGTTTAAACATAATTGGGAAACATTTAATTAAATAAATAAAAATTAAAATAATTTGAATCCTTTTCCATTTAGTGAATATATGTTTAGTATTCATATTACTTAATTATTGATGATATCTTTTAGCAAAATGTAGTTTCCCCGATTACCTGTTTTAATTAGGTCTATTTTTGCTTTTGCTTTGTCTGAGATAAAGATTACTATCCCTGTTTTTTTGTTTGTTTGATTGTTTTTTAATGATAGTTGAAGCATAGTAGATTCTGCTCCAGACTGTTATTTTAACTATATGTGTCCTTTTGTTTCAAGTGTATTTCTTGTAAACAACATTGTTGGATTCTGGTTTCTCTTTTATTGTGAGCTTATCCCATTACTAACTGTGTATTTCTCTCCATCCTATTTTTTTTCCTGTTTATCCTTTCTGTTCTCTCTTTTGATGTTGTCCCTCCTCAAAAGTCTGTTTAGCAACCCCTGCCTCCCTTAATCCACCTTTCCATGCACCTTCAACATCCATGTTGAGAAGCTCAGGCATTGCCTGAGTCACCCAACACTTCCCCTCCCCTATAAAAGCTCTTACTTGCATGCCTTTTTTGTAAGAAAATTTTTTCCATTCTTCTCCCTTCTCCCAGTGAATCCTTCTCTCTCACTGTTTCATTTTTTTTGGTCATTCCTATATAACCGACTCATACTGTGCTCCCTATGTATACTTCTTTTAATTGTCCTAATAGTGATAAAGTTCTTAGGAGATACAATGATCATTTTTCCATATAGGGATGTAGAGTTTAACGTTATTAAGTCCCTTATGATTTCTCTTTTATATTTACCTTTTTGTTCTTCTCTTCAGCATTGTGTTTAAAATCAAATTTCCTATTCATCTCTGATCTTTTCATCAGGAATGCTGAAAAGTCCTCTATTTGATTAAATAATGTCCCCCCCGCGCCTTGAAGGATTATACTCAATTTTGATGGGTAGGTTATTCTTGGTTACAATTTTTACTTCTTTACCTTCTGGAATTTCATATTCCAAATCCTCCACTTAAAAAAAAAAATGTTAACTGGTAAATCTTGTGTAATCTTGACTGTGGATCTATGGTATTTGAATGATTTCTTTCTGACTACTTGAAGTATTTTCTCTTTGACTTCAGAGCTCTGAAATTTGGCTATAATAATATTCCTAGGAGTTTTCATTTTGGGATCTCTTTCAAGTGATCAACAGACTCATTCAATTTCTCTTTTGCTCTCTGGTTGTAAGATACAGGGTAAGTTTTCCTTTACAAATTCTTGAATTATGATATCTAGGTTACTTTTTTTATTGTGACTTTCAGGTAGTCCAATAATTGTTTTTTTTCTTATTTTATTTTTTCTCAATTGCAATTGTTAAATAATTTTGACATTCATTTTTTAGAATTTTGAGTTTCAAATACTCTCCTTCCCTCCATGCCCCCCCCCTTGCATGATTGTATTGATCAGAATAGCTAAGACATATGATCATCATACAATATTGCTCTTAATGAATACAATATTCTTTGGCTCTGTTCACTGCACTTTGTATCAGTTCATATAAGTCTTCTCAGGTTTTTCTCACCATTTTCTTATAGTATAATAGTATTCCATCACAATCATATATCACAACTTGTTCAGTCATTCCAAATTGATGGACATCCCTTCAATTTCCAATTCTTTGCCACCACAAAAAAGGAGCTTTTATAAATATTTTTGTACTTATAGGTTCTTTCCCCTTTTCTTTAATCTTGTTGGGATACAAACTTAGCAGTGGTATTTCTGCATCAAAGTCTTAGTATACCAGTTTTTGCATGTCCCCTCCAACATTTGTCATTTCCTTTTTCTGGTACCTCAGAGTTGTTTTAATTTGCATTTCTCTAGTCAATAGTGAATTAGAACATTTTTTTTTGGTCAGACAATTGGGGTTAAGTGACTTGCCCAGAATCACACAGCTAGTGAGTATTATGTGTCTGAGGCTGGATTTGAACTCAGCTCCTCCTAACTCCAAGGCCAGAGTTCTATCCACCTAGCTGCCCCTTCTTTTTTTTTAACCTCAGCTGAAGCATAATAAATTCTGCTTCAGCCCCTTATTTTTACTTCCTGGTTCAAGTGTATTTCTTGTAAAGAACATATTATTGGATACTGCTTTTTAATCCTTTCCACTATCCACTTCCATTTTATATACTTACTGTGTATTATGCTTACTGTGTATTTCCCTCTGTCCAATTTTCCCCTTTTTATCCTTTTCTCTCTCTCATTTTACCCTGTTCTTCATCAAAAGTCTATTTTGCTTCTGACCACTGGCTCTCTTAATCTTGCCTCCTTTTGTAGGTAAGATAGATTTCTATACCCGAGTGTGTCCATTATTCTTTCTTTGAGCCAATGCCAATGAGAATAAGGTTCAAGCATTCCCTGCCACCCCCCCCAAATGGAATGTGTCATGAATTTGCATATCATTCTTGAACAGTGGCCATGCTAATTTTCTCTGTATCATTTCAGTTTTAGGATATATGCTGCCAATGTGAGCACTACCCCAATAATTCTTAAATTATATCTCTTCAAGCTATTTTCCAGGTCAGTTGTTTTACCAATAAGACATTTCACATTTTCTACTATTTTTTTCATCCTTTTGATTTTGTTTTATGGTATCTTGATGTTTTATGAAGTTATTACCTTCTACTTGTCCAATTCTGATTTTTAAGGAATTATCTTTTTTCAGTGAGATTTTGTACCTCTCTTTTCCATTTGGCCAATTCTACTTTTTAAGGAGCTCTTTGCTTTTGTGAATTTTTATACTTCTTTTACCATTTGTCCAATTCTGCTTTTTAAGGTGTTATTTTCTTCAGTATGTTTTTTTGTAGCTCTTTGATCAAGCTGTTATTTCTCATTTCATAATTTTCTTTCAAAATTCTCATTTTTAATCTCATTTTTCCTCTACCATGTTACCTCTTTCTTTAGCACTTCTAGGACATCTTGTTGGACTTGTGTCTAATTTATTTATTTTTTATTGTCTTTGAGACTTTATAGCTTTTTCTTGTTGTTGATTTCTTCTGAGTTTCTATATTTACCTTTCCTGTCACCATAATACCTTTTTATGGTCAGGTTCTTTTTTTTGTTGTTTGATCATTTTTTTCCCAATCTATTTCTTGTCTTTGAAATTTATTTTATTGTTGGACTCTGCCAACCTAGGGAAGCACTATCCTGTTTCAATGTTTTGTTTTTTTGTTTGTTTGTTTGTTTGTTTGTTTGTTTTTGCACTGCAATTTCAGAACTAGTTCTGGATGTCTGTAAGTTGTCAGTGCTTCTAAGGTGGTACAGGAGAGAGGTATTGTCACTGTTCTCCTGGTCTATGCTCTGGTCTTTTTGTAGGAAGAACACCTGCTCCCCATACAACTACAAGTATTAGTCATCCTCTCAGCCCTGGAATTATGACTAGGGCCACTACTGCTTTATGACTACAAGTATTCTTCTTATTCTGGCACTGTATATGAGCAATGAAGTTGCTAAAAATTGCCAGTTTCTTCACCCGATACAAGCAAAAGGTCGACTATAATTTCCTTCTGATCAGTTTTCTGACCCCCTTACCATCTCTGGGCTGAGAGCTCTGGATGCTACCTCTTCCTCTGTCACCACCTCCAAGGCCCAGAGCTGGTGCTACTGCCCACATGCACTGTAGGCCAGCCCCTACTCCAGTGCTACAGACCTCTCCTACTAACCTTCTAAGATGTCTTGGGCTGGAAAAATGCCACCCTGTCTTTTTCTTGCCTGTGATGCTCCAGAATTTGATTTGAAATGTTATTTTAAAGTTGTATGGAGAAGAATGTTGGGAGAGTTTAGCTGGGTTACCGTCTCTACTTCATCTTTGTTCAGCCCCACAGTTTTCAAAGGAAGAAATCTAAACTATCAATAGTTATATAAAATGTTTGAAATCATTAATAATAAGAAAAAATGTTAATTATAGCAGCTCTAAAGTTCCACTTCATACCCATCAGATTGGCAAAGTAGACCAAAAAAAGGAAACTGGTAAATGTTAGAGGGGCTATGGGAAACCAGGCACATTAACACACTCTTGGTTAAGTTGTGAATTAGTTCATTCATTATGAAAGCAATTTGGAGCTATGTCCCCAAAGTTACTATTCCATGTATACACTTTAATCTAGCAATACCATTGTAAGGCCTATATTCCAAAGAAATTGAAGAAAGAAGAAATATGCTCATATGTTACAAAAATATTTGTAACAACTCTTTTTGTAGTGTCAAAGAACTAGAAACTAAGGGGGCACCTGTCAGTTGGAGAAAGTTTTAACAAATTATTCTATATGAATATAATGGAGTGCCACTGTGTCATAAGAAGTGAGAGTTACAAAAAAGACAAAAGAGAGAGTTACGCATAAACCTTGGAACAATTGTATGAGCTGATATAGAACATAGTGAGAATCAGGAGAACAATTTGCATGAAAAAAAAGAACAGTGACCTTAAAATACTTTAAAAGATTTTAAAAATTCTCATCAGTGCAATTGCCAATCGATTGCCATCGATTCCAAAGAATTGATGAGGAAGAATTCTGCCTAGCTTCTGACAGAGAAGTGATAATCTCAAGACACCAAATGAGGTACATTTTTGGACATGAACAATATGGGAATGTGTTTTGATTATACATATTGGTAGGGTATGTGTGATATCCATGTAGGTCATGAGTATATATCTGGAAGTCTATTTAAATGAAGCTCTCAAAGAGGACTAAGTAGATGTCTCTGGAATCTTTCCCATCCCTCTCCAAGGGACATTTTGTTTCCTTCTAGGAAGGAAAGAGGAAATTGGGAACAGGAGTTCTCTTCTCCTCAGAGAGAGGATAATTGACTAGAATCATGTCTATCTGTCCCTAAACATTGTTAGCCTAGGAGAAAAAATTTCTAGGTTCTAGCCACTCTCCTGATCATTATACCTTAACAGAGGACTACCCCAAGGTATATCCAAAGACCTGAACCCCTTCCCATCAAAAGTCAGTGAAACAAAGAATATCACATCACAATAGTGAATGGTCAATATTCCTATTTACCCAAGCTGATAGGAAACAGAAATCAGAGAAGTTATATAGATTAGAATATATCAAAATGTATGAGTTACTTGTGGCAAGATATCTCAGAGAGTTTAGCAAGCTGGAAATAGAAATACATGTAAGGCATTCTGCTACATGAGGATAGTATTATGCAAATGCCTAAACTTGAGCCACAAGTTACATTCATTACAGTGGTCATTTTCTTTTCTTACTCCCCTCTACCATGGAGAAGGCTTAGGATGCTGGAGGAAAAAAAAAACTTGTTAATACAGACATTTTTAAAATTAAAAACCCAAAGTCAATTTTCTACCCTTATGGAAATTATACTTAAATAGGATAAGACATATTTATGAATAATTATAATTCATACCGATGCATAATGAGTTTATCAGAGAGTTTCAAAACAGTGCTGTATGAAGTTTGAAGGGAAAGGTTTGTTAACTAAGAAGAGGGATCAGGGAAGTCTTCATGGAAAAATGTCAACTGCATTGAGTAATTTAACAGACAAAAATGGAGGAAGACATTGAAGTCCTAGGAAACAGTGCTATACAATGACATAGAAGGTGGAGAGGGGCAGGGAGGAAACCCAGTTTTGCTAATGTACCAAGTAAGTGGAGAAGAGTAATAATCAATATGGATGGAAAGGTATAATGGTGACCAAGTGAGGAAGGTCTAGATTGCCAAAAAAAATGGTATTCTGATTTTAATTCATAAGCAATAGGGAATTATTTTTGAGCAGAAGTAAGGCAAGAACTGACCTATGCATAAATAAAACAATCCAATGACTATAATTTTCCCTCTTCCCTCTTTCTCTTATCACTCACTGGTAAAGATCAAATTTAGTGGGGAGGTGACCAAAATAAATAAAATGATTAGTTATTGAATCACTGAAAGTTAGTTTTCTTATGATTGTATTGTGGCTACTATAAAAAAGAAATGTTGGGTTTTGTTTTGTTTTGTTTTTCTCGTCTTCCATTCTGGAAATGCTTCTAATTGAAGCTTTTATAACTAAAGGGCCTGAGCCAAACAAACAAATAAAAGTACCTAAAGCTGTGGTCACTTGATCAAACCATAGAATAGATTATTGCTGGTTGTAATCATCAACAAAACAAAGCAAAACATAGATGAAAGTATTAGACCTTGTTAATATCATAGCTAAGATTTATCTAGTCCTCAGGGCATGTGCTTATTTTGATGTTGGATTAATTTTCATTGAAATTTTCATTTCATTGAAATGTTAAGATTGTGTCTAGTGCCAGGTTTAATATTGCAATTAGGCAGTAAGCCAATCAATCAACATGAATTGAGCACTGCCTTGTAAATAACTGATGTCCTTTCTTTTATCTTAAATTGTTTGAGGACAAAAATATATATCCCAGTGAGTATCTCCCTGAGACAGAACTTAACAGTAAAGCTTAAGGACAGAAAGGGAATAGAAAAAGCTTCCATCTAGAATTTTAACTCTACTGGTTGTTAGCATAGCACTGACTCGGAATTATCCCTTTCATCCTCCCTCCATCAGGGAACATGAAAGAGTTTGTCCAGATAGCTTGCAGGTGGGGTGGGAGGCTGATCTACACAGTGGGGGGGGGGGGGTCAATCACATTGGCAGCAGCTCCCATCTCAGTGTCAAATAAGACTTTCTCTTGCTGAGTTAATTATATGAAGGAAACCTAGAGTGTCCTTCCTCTTCCCATAATGTCCATATCCACTCAGCCAGCCCTGACAGAAGTAGCTAGACATATGATTTACCCTGTGTGAACTTCTGTGTTGGACTCCCACTTCTAGCACCACACTTTCTCACACTGACCCTTCACCCGGTCTATGATTGAACTGAGTACACTAAAAAACTCCAGTTAATTCCCATCCTTGGCACGCTCACTCATTTTCATTTTGTGTTTCCTTTCCACCTTATTCCCAGGCTCCTAGATTTTCTGCATGACCAACTTTTTCTCTGAATGTGTTGGACTAATTCCTGAGAATGCCTTTCTTCTTACCACATGATTTTGCCTGATATTTCCTGTCCCTAATGTGACTTATACATTAGATAGAATTTAACTGACAGAGGGACTCATGAAGCCTTCATTTTTTCTAATCGCCTAGTAATGGTGACTGTGGCTAAAGCTTCCAAAGCAACATGTTTTTGTGGTTTTCTCACAAAGTAATTTTGATATTTCTATTCACTTGTACATACAGAACATGGACCCACATAAACACTAAAGGATATATGAAGCAGAATTAGATCAACAGTGTTGTGTTTCAACACTTCTAAGTGCTAAAACTCTGTAGTGTTTGTGTCCCAACAAGACTGGCAGTCATAGGAAAGGGGTTGGGGAGCTGTGGAGAGATGGCAAGAGCACACTACACAGGGAGTCAGGTAACGTAGGATTCTAGTTTTACCTTGCAAAGTAACTACCTCTTGACCTTTGAAAATTGACTAAATCTCTCTGCCTACTTTTCTTCACCTGC